TATAGAACAAATATAGAAAACTTCCTGGACTATAATCACAAACTCAGAACCACTTAGTCTTATCAGCGCATTAAGTTTTTATTGTCACTATTTAATTTTATTCATCAACTTTTTGTAGTAAAGAAAGGATTTAACATCAAAGTTATTCAATCAAACATCTAGTTACACTTAAAATTTTCTAGGAATTTAGTTATATACAATTTCAATTTTAACTTGTCAAAAAATTGGAATTTTTTGGCCAGTTTAAACCATAAAACAACACATATTTATGGAGCAGATCAATTTACAGTGTAATTAGAATACAATTAGACTGATGTGTGCCTAGCAGGCACATCTAAACAAACTAGCAGGTTTAAAGGTGATTCAACTTAAAAAAAGCGAACCAGATACTATATTTTTTAAAAATTTATACGCTGACAAACAATTTCAGAAAGCTGTAGTTATTAATAAAAAGAAAAAAAGCAACAATTCCTAATTGAGAGATGCATACAGCGCAAAACCAGGTATGCCTGATAAGAAAAAAGCGAATCCCATGGATTTGGTTAATAAAAACCTGATTCCAAGATATCACAGGCCATTTTATGAATCATTGTAGTTTTAAAAGTCACGTGTTATTGCTTGTTTTGACAAAGACAATACTTTAAGTGTTACATTTTCGTAATTTAATAACATTAGTTCGTTAAGAATTTAAGATTTTACACATTATTAAGAACCTTTAAGAAATAGTTTTAATTTAAGAATTATTGCACTTTAAATTTGCCTTGTAATTCTAATATTGGTTGTTATAGTTACACTTTTTCAATAAAGAACATATTCTCAAATCAAAAATCTTTTATTTCGACAACGTTTGTTTATTGTATAACCCAATAACATATCAAAAATAATATCATCAACAACGTGATAAGTCAGTTTGTAACATTCATCTTATTACATTTTTGCAGGAAAAGTGTGACATATTGTCACCTTTTTCGTTAATATACAAATTTTTTGCTAAATTTATTACATTGTCAGCCCCATCTAACATTTTCAGAGACGTAATTAGTTAACACTTATAGTAAATATTAGATGGACTATAAAAATGTATTCCTTTGGAGACAATAATTTTTTGTAAAAAGGATGCTCCTGTAAAATTGTACTTTTTAACTTAACACCTTATTGAAGCAAAGAGGCGATATCCAGTATTACTGAATTTTTCAGTAATGACAAAAAAACTACTATTAACTATTTAAACTACGGAAAATGAATATATTTAGTCATTTAGAGGATAAAATGACTAGCACTTAAAAAAAATAAAACATTAATTTAGCTAAAACATATAAGCAAATGGAATTGAACACCATGAGAAAGTCGTTGTATAATAAATTTGGTTTCTGTTTGGCACAAGCTGTTAAAAACCTAAACGACCTGACGATACTCCTGTCGTCTTTTGCAAAATTTGATCCCGGCGACAGCTTGTCGCGAAGGTAAGATAGCCGGCCCAGCCACGGCTTGTGAAGATATCTGGCTAAAATCAAATAAAATATTTGTAACATTTCTTTTTATTTCATTATAACATTTTAAGTTGTTTTTATATTCTTTCATTTACATAGAATTATTAAACACTTTCACTTACGGTCTTGAGTTCTTTACTAAAATCACGGGAAGTCCTAGTAACATTAACCATAAATAACTGGAAGAATTCAAGATCCCGTTTTCCACTGGACAGTTACCATCACTTATGGTCCTTCTTGTTGTATGCTTTCTGCTTTTGAAATACAAAAAATCAAAGGTTAGTGCTTTTCCTTTTACCATTATTTCATTTTTTTACATTTTCACTTGAGATTTACATTTGATTTGTTTCAATTCGGTGGAAAACTACTTCTATCTTAATTGTTTGTTATTAATCACTACTTATATATAGATTATACTTAGTATATAGATTTTAGTTACCTTTGCGTATTTAGGACCTAGCTAATGAATACGCCCTTCAGTCCCTCTGGAATTTAAGCTCAGTTGTGGAGGATACCGTGCTCTGTCATGCAGTTCACTCTCCCCGGTACCCGACACTTTATACGCTACTATATCCCGGCGAAAACATAACCGCGCGGTTCGCCGTGCTCGAGTCGCCTAGTCTCCGCGACGGTCCCCTCGTACTACTGACGTACTGGACGCTGCCGCGTCCGAGCGCTCACGGGGCCGGCAATTACTTCCTCGAGCAGTCACGGTGCCCAGCTATTACTGATCCCGCTGGCCAACTTCGTTCGGTTTTTATGAACGCGTATTCTCATTTTCCGAGGTCGAGCTTTTGCTGACTCAGTAATCATATGCTTCAACTGGGCCAGGAGCGGTGTTATTTTTTCAACAACAGTTTCTGTTTGAACGTGATTATTTTCCTTTTAAACAATTGTTGCAAACTGATATTGGTTCATGTAATGCAACTAAACTAGGTCAAATTGTTATTCTTTGTATAATTTAAAATGTATACGTTAACTGTATCGAATTTATTCTTTATCTAATTTGGAATATATAATAATTATTTAAATAATTATTATTATTCCCTATGCTACTACCCCTTATTTTAATTCTTTATTTTCTTGCTATGTTTACATAACATTGCTTGTCCAGTTATATTAGTCCAAGGTAATAAGGATTTTCTCGTGACACTCAATAATCCAAGTAGAAGAAGAAAACCTACCTGTTTCCTGCCTCAAGTTCGGAGCCGTTTTTAATGATTCACAATTTAATGCAAAAAACGCGATTTTTTGCACTCTATTAGAAAGCTAAATACTTGACATAAAATTACAAAATTTTATTTTTTAGAATATTGATAAAGCTTCAAAATGCCGAATTTTGAAAGTTGAAAAGTCAATTTGTTGCTTCGCAAACTGCAAAATAAGTGACAATTTATATTTGTTAAAAACTTTTAGTAAACTTAAACTTTAGAGTTCCACCCAAAGTTGGGTATTGGGTACTTAGCAAACCCTCAACATTTGGGACCGATATATTAATTTTAAAGTTTAAAAGTTATTGTATTTGTTTATCATAGAGACCTTTTTTTTTACAATAACATAAGACAGAAAATAATAAAGATATGGTTATGCTGTGGGTGACAAATGAAAGCAAAATACTTATATACTCCATTCCACGAATATACGACTGTTTTAAATTCGCTTTAAGGTGTCGACTTAAATGGTCCAATGTGCTGAATTGTACAATAGTAAATTCTCCCCATTTTTAAAATACTGTTACGACAGATAAAAACCTTAGATTTAAATATAAAGTCATGATATAAATATAAAGTTAATAGTTTATAGAACAGTTTTTGAATCTGAACAATTCAGATTTTGAAGTATATAATTACTATCATATAGTTTAGTATTGTAAACAAGTTGGTTTTTGAATTATTGATTTTAACGAAATGCAACAATACTTAAGTGATCAAATGGTGTAATTTATTTAGTATTATCGAATATTCAATTAGTATTAAAAAAACAAAAAACTTACTTATTCACTTATTCTCTTAATCTTCTAAAACTATCATCAACGATCAGATTCACAGCAGTGTATAAAAATTTTCGTTACTTTTTAATATCTGTAACGACTCCTAGCCGGTATATTATACCCGTTACTTTAGGAACTTTTAAGAGTACATAAACTCAAAGCAAACAAATATTTAAAACTAACAAAGTGAAATATTAGATCCTTTTTCTGGTTTCTGAACCATTGTTCTGCCAATTTCATTTCATTTATATTAAAAATAGTATATTTCTTTTTATTACAGTTATAATACCTAATAAAGTAATAAAGTGTAATGTAATATCAAAGAAACCCGGCACGCCTCTTTGGTGTTTACATTTCACGGAAAGCTTACCCAAATGTCTGACGAACACATTTGGCTTTATAGACGTTATTGTATTTATTTGTAGATTTTAACTGAAATAATTTTAGTTTAGATGTCATAATAGTAGACCCTTTTTATTAGAATAATGATTGGACCAATTTACCTTCATACTTCTACTCGCACAGCAAAATATTTGTTGTTGCAGTAAACCAAAACAGTCGTATATTCGTGGAATAACCTATACTATCAATATCTATTAAAAAAAGATAAAAAGATTTATTATACTAAAAAATCCTGATGATAAATTTTTGAAATTATCTAGTTTATAAACATTTTGAATAACTTTAAAAAAATTGTCCGATCCCCTTGGTATGCAATAAAATCGCGCCAGACACGCCAGCTCGAACAAACATTTTATATCCCCATTTATGAGGCTTATTTTGAATATATTGCCTGAGATTCTCTGAATGAGTACCTTTATATGCAATCATAGTTTCGTCTATGGAATACTGATTTTCAAATTGATGTTTCTGACAATTCAATCTGACTGCATCCAAAAGTGGTCTGATTTTAAAATACCGATCTTTGGTTTCGTTTGTAACTTGGCTGTTGTCATTGCAGTGTATAAATCTTCCGAGAAGTTGAAATTGTTTTAGTGGCATATTCTAGAGAATATCGCCCAATAGTCTTCTGCTGCAGGTACATTTATTACTCTCATCGATAATAAAATGGATAATAAATCTGTTATTTCACGGGGAGAAGAGTTGATGGATTTTTCTCTTACCTGTGTACTGTAGACTGGTACACGATATCTTCAATAACATCAAGCGAAAACAACTTGTTAAAGTACTCCAAAGGCGTAGCTACCTCTCCACTGAAAAATTGATCTGGATCAGAAGTGGAAGTAGTTATAATATCCTCTTCTGTCCAATTAAAATGGGTAGGATCTCTTTTTGCTTTTTTTCTTGGTACAACTTCCTCTTCTTCGTTTGCTCTTTCCTCATCAGCTTCTCTAGCTTCATCTATTTCTTGTATAACAATATTGTTTGGACCTGTTTTCTCATCAGACTATTCGAAAATATCTTCGTCTTGCAAATAATTTTTTTCAGAATCAGATAAATCGGAAATATTTGGATCTACCGGAGTATGGCAAGCGTTTTTTACTTTTTGCTTTTTCTCTTTAGGCTTTTTTTCTTGGTACAACTTCCTCTTCTTCGTTTGCTCCTTCCTCATCAGCTTCTCTATCTTCATCTATTTCTTGTATAACCATATTATTTGGAACTGTTTCATCATCAGAGTTTTCGAAAATATTTTCTTCTTGCAAATAATTTTCTAGATAAATCGGAAATATCTGAAATATTAGGATCTACCGAAGTTATTACAAGCATTTTTTTCTTCCCATAAAAACAGGCTGCCCAGATTGGCTTAAAATCCATAACAAAAAATAATTTTCTTTGTAAAATCTGCAACAAAAAAACTTGCTATAAACTGGCAATGTTGCTTTTTACCTACATAGTTTTTTAAATGCAGATTTTACGGTTATATAGGTCTTTTATTACTGCAAATATTTAAAAACCTAAAGTAATGATCCTTTATATTATTTTTGATTCAATATATATTCACGTTCAAGCAGCATGTACGCGCACAGCTGTTTACTTTCGGCTATATTGAAATAAACTTTCTAAAACCTTGTTATAGAATATAGATCGTGCTGCCAGCCTTAACACTAATAGAAAAAGTTGTAGTTTAAAGGCTACCTTTCTAGATAGGATATGTAAATCACTATGCTAGTGAAATTATCATTCAAAGTTGGTGTAGCCAAGAATTTATCATTACGCCGAGCGTTCGACCACCAGTTCGACATCCTATTTGATGTCTTTTTCAGGGCTTCCGAGCCCCCAAACACTACTACACTGATCACTAAAAAATGCATTAGTGCTAATGCACGGTTCATTTATACTGTAGATGGAGACGTGGTTTGGTTGGAGGTTGGCGTGGGGGATTAACGCGAACATTTCTGACAGTAGATTTTGATTGGAAAGTGAAGCGGGCGATATTTTCTTTATGAGAGGTCTCTATGTCGAAGGTAACTGTATGCGGTCAACTCTTTTATTGAAAAAAATTTGGACTTTTTTCAATTTCAACAAATTTAAAATTTTTTTAAGTGATATGCGGTATTATTAATAATACATAAACAAAACCATACAATATATACAATAAAATACATAAAAAAATTAAAACAATGCCATACATGTAAAACTTAGGTTGTTGACATTATCATTTCCATATTCTTACCGGTAAATTGATTTCTTCTTTAAGAAATTAATTGACCAACCTTTGAGAATACCCTCACCGATGGTACTGAGGTTGACATGATACATAAATACTTTTTCGCCAACTGAGCTAAATGTAAATATAACAAAGCTCTGGTTTCTCACCATTTCACCAAGATTTTTGGCTAAATATGCCCTTACTTATTGTCGCTGCTTTCGAATGAATTTCTTTTGGTGTTTCTACGGCATTATCAAACTCTTCCCAAACTAAATTTTGTTCATCGTTTGCGGCCGTTTCTTCTTCTGTCTTTTCGTTATTGCCATTATTAACTATATTATCCGGCTGTCGTTCTGAATGGATTAATTGAGCTACCTCGCACTTGAGGAATTCTTGAATTTTAAAGACGCTCATTCGCAATGTTGCAATTATATTCTGAATTAAACAAGTTGGTTTTGAACATAGGATCTTAAAAAGTACATTTGCCATTAAATTATTCGATTCAAGAGAGAAGAATCTTATAACTATTTCTTTTTCATGAGTGACAAGAGATTTAACGTTTGTACTTGTTACAATCTGTTTAATTTTCTGGATAGCTTGTAATAAATAATGTCGTGGGGTAGTAAATAATATGTTGTTGTACTTAGTTAACCATTTATTTAACACTACTTTACACTCTTTAATGTTACTTAATCTAAATATTTCAGTACTTAATTGACGCTGACTATATGCGGCATTAACTTGCCATTTTGACGGTACATTAATTAAGATCTTTGAGAGAATGTTTGTTGGGGCTTTTATAGTAGTCCTTGCTATATCAGCAAATGTTTACTTATTAGTATGTCAAGTTTGTTCATGACCTACGCCAAGCATGTGGTGATCGACAATAGTGCTGACTACCAGTTCTAATTAGAATATGTTATTTATGAATGTCCTCGATTCAAATTACTAAATATATTTATATAAACAGAATGTTAAATGTTACACGGGTATGAATTATAATATTTTATATATGTGAATTCTAATATTTAGGGAATTACACCACACCATCCCCCTTACGGAAAAAAATTCTCTTTTGCAACTGTCTCATTCCTCTCTCTTTCCCTTTGGAAAAAGAGAAATTTTGCAACCTCAAATAAGTACTGTTTACCTATGCTACCGTATACATATTTATACAAATGTTGGTATATATTTCCTTACATTTAGTAAAAATTTAGTAACCTAACCTTACCTCAGCATATTATAAGGTTACCCTAATTGTTCCCTTGTAATATGCTATCTGGTATCCTTCATTATGCCTTACTCGCATATTAGTTCAATATTTTACGTACGTTTTCTCTTACCTTACGTTAAATTATTTAGATTATATTACCTTATATTACCCCCTCTTATGTCCCTATTGGGTCTCTATTATGTCTTAGTCCCTATTATTTCCCTATTATGTGCACATAATATTTACAATAACCTTTACATATTTTAGATAATAAATAAAAATTTATAATAATAAAATCTTATATTAATTCTTATATTAATACTTGCATTAATTCTTGTAATGATTCTTGGTACCAAGTAATTGTTTTGTTTTCACATATACACGATTAGTCACTTTGACATCTCACAATAAAGTTTTGTCATTTTATCTATTTATTCTTTTATCCCTATTTATTTTGTTTACCTACTATACAGTCTAACATTTTTCTTTTTGCTATACACATTTAAAAACATATATTTTGTACGAACTTAAAACTATATTTACACATTATATTCATTTAAAATAATCTCTATATATTATTTGCATTCAAAAGTACATGTATATATTACGAGTATATTCATTGACTCTAATTGTAGCAAAGTATTGCTTCCTTAATTATTCTAGCTATAAAATCTGTGCCTTCGTCTGCTATTGTTTTTCTGGGTACTCCATACCTCAAGATAAATTTTTCTACCAATGATTTGGCTACTGTTTCATTTTCTATTACATATTCTTCTGCGTAGTTGCTTAATTCGCATTGTACGTCAGTATATCTGTTTCCATTTTCATCCATGTACATTTCCATTCCTTGTTTATGATTTAGTGCTTATGCCTTTGGCAGTCGTCGCATCTCTTCACATTTCACTTATTTCTCAACATTTCTTCATAATTCGTTCCAGAAATAGTATTCCCTTATATTTCTGTATTTAATATATATCCTATTTATTTTTCCATAACCTTCCTGTAATATGTGGAAGTCGGTACTTATAACTCTCCTTGGTCTTCTTATCTTGTACTATATTATGTATTGATTGTATTATGTTTACCTTGTACAATACAAGCTTTTATACTTTCTTAAAAAAATTATTATTTTTCTCTTCGTACTTCATTAAGAATTGGCTGATTCTTATTTTTCATCTCTTCTTATTCTCATTTTTCATTATTATCATTTTCTTTATAATCTTCTGCATTCATATTTGTCTCCTAATGCTATTCCTGAAGCATAAATTCTTAACCTAAATTTGTTTTTCTTCGATAAATCGGGGAATTATATAACGGGCTTATTAGCTAACGGGGATATGTCTTGAGCTTAATAAATGCTTCTTGACATTCAGTAGTCCATTAAACTTTATATTTTCTAGATAGTCTGTTACGTGGTGTGGCTATTTCTGTAAAATTGATGACATGTTTTCTATAATAATTTGCAAATGCAACAATCGCTTTGCTTCTTTTGCATTCTGCGGTGTCTGTTTATTCGAAATATTATGTCCTAAGAGTTCTTCTTCTAGAAAACATATGAACATATTTCTATTCATCGATTTTCCGTCTATGTCGAAAAATAAAATCCATACTTGTTAGTTCTTCTGGCATCGTAAATAAAATTTTAAATATACGGGTCATATTAATAAATAATCAACCTGTTCAGTTATGTTGTACTCATTTCATGATTGATGACCTTGCTTACCATGCAACTATATCAAATATCTAATAGTAAGTTGGCTATAAAATTAACCTAATGTCGTTATGTAATGTTTATACTAGGAATACTGCGTTTTGTTATCATAATAAAATATTATGAGTACGGTTTTTCTTTGATTTCGTATCTTTTTGCAAAGTAACATTTTCTTTGTGTATATGGGTCTTTTTCCGAAAAAATAAAAATGTCTGCATATTTTGCAATTTTCTATGGGCCTTTTTTCTTCAAATATTGATGGTTTTTATTGTGCTTAATATTTGTTCGACTTTTTTTCTCTTTTGTTTTGTTCCTTTCATATAAAATATATAAAATTTTCCTGGTTATCTATCTTCTAATTTATATTTCTCGATTATTTACATTTATGATTCCTATAGGTAACACAATCTTAATCGGTATATCTATTAATTCTTCTGTAAATTCCTTCGCAACTTCTGGTTTCTATATTACTATAACTGTTTCTTCTGTATTTTGTATCGGTTCGATCTCGAAATTAATTTCGCCTAATATGTACTAATATAGACACATATTTTTCAAAATAATTTGTTCTTCATTTTTCCGCATGTGTGCGTACTTATTTTATTTAATATCGTTTCTTCTCTTGCATTTAAATACACTAATTGTATATATTATATTCATTATTTATATTCATTCATACTATATTCATCCTCTACGATTTTGGTACTTCGCATATGTATATTTCTACATTTTTCAATATCTTATTTCCTTTTTCCTATTATATCTCTATATCTTATTGCTCATTTTCCTAACCATTTGATTTTGTTTTTGACCCGAATACTCAGTCTTGGTGAGACTCGGTTTGCTCCAAAAGACAAAATTGGTAGTTTGTGCGCCTCCATATTATTTAGTACCTTTCTTACTGTTTGCTTGTGGGTTTTATGTTGTAATATAATTTCCTCTTTATTATATCTAAGTTCTTTATTGTGGCAAACTTCTTTTTCGATAATTTTCCATTTACTTCATTAAAAAAATCATAATTTCAAATTTGTTTTTCCATTTTAATCCATTATGTAGTTACTGTACTGTTGTGCTGGAGCCGCAGGACTCTTAGCGGGTTGGGATTCAAGTACCGCCCTAGCTTATCCTCTTAGCAGCCTCCTGCTCGACGTAGATTCCAACCATTAAGGTCGAACCACATCCAGTTTGTCTACATTTCTGTTAAAAAAAATCTTCTTCTGTCACTGTATTCGTATTCGCATGCGGTGCGTAATATGCTCTCGCTGTGCCTCTATTTCTGTGGCATCTCACCTGTGTCCATTGTTTATTATTTCTTCTTCGTTGTGATTGCCAATCTCCTCTGTTTCTATTACGATATATCCTCGTATCATGTCTTTCATATTCACTTATATTTCCATAATTTTTGTTTCTATATTCTTTTCTTTCTTCGAATTTATTTTTATAATATCCATATATTGCATTCTTACTTCCTTTTCTCCTATCAAAATCGTATTTGTTCCTGTAATTTAACACTCTTCCTTGTGTGCTATCTTTTGTCTCGTCGATCGATAAAAATTTGTACATTACCTCTTGTGGGGTTGTAAAGTTGCCTGCCTCTAATATTATCTTGACTTTGTCTGCGCTGGCATTATATTTCATTGTAGCTACTACTGCTTCTGTTGTGTATTTTTTCGCTAGTTCCAATGGCATTCCTTCCTCTACGTATGCAACTTTTAGCTGTTCCGCTAATTCTTCAACTTCAAATGCATAGACCTCTGCATCTTTATGTCCTTGTCTTTTCTTCGCCAATTTAGCTATTATCGTCTTTGGACTGTCGCCTCTCAGTTCTCTCTTCAGTGCCTCTGCTATTCTTGCGATTGTATCTTCTGTAGTTATAACGTTTCTGGCCTTATTAGTTAATCTTGTCTTTATTAATGTTATCGCTGTTTCCTCGTGTCCTATCGCTATTTTCTCAAGTAGTTCAAGTGCGTCTAAAAATGACTGCAGTTTACCTGCCTTTCCATCAAACGCGCTGGGTAACACCTTGCTTGCGATATTTAAAAATTCGTTGATTGTAAGAGCCATACTTATTTCTTGCTCTATGTCGCTATGTTCTTCCTTCTTTATATGTTGTTGTTTCTTTGTCATAAGTAAAGAAACTGGCTTTAAATCTTCTACATTTTGTGTATATTCTTTATCCGAAATTTCCATAATGTTATTATCGTTTACAACTTTTCTATCTCCAGTGAGTCCTTGTATTTGCAATGATTCAGCTGTTTCAATAAAGGTATTTAAATCTTCTTGTCTAATTTGTACTTCTCCATGGTATATAAATTGTAGTAAGTCTGTTAGTGCTTCGTAAGTCACGTTTGTCAAAATTACTATAGGATGTTGACAGGGATTTGACTTAAAAATTTCCTTAAAATATGGGCTACAAACCGAAAGAACAATTTTATGCGCTTTTATGCATTTTCCTTGTGCTGAAAGCGTTACGTCTACAAAATCTTGACTCTTCCATAATGCATTTATTCCTGAACTTATATTTTCGTGGAAATTGTTCCAACGCAATGAAAATTTTTCTGACGCCATGGTCAACTGTCTTTAAAAGTTCTTCTAAATTATTTTCCTTCCTTATAAATGTAACAATAATTCTAAATATCCTAATTTAAATAGTAAAATAAAAGTCATATCAAATTTCTTCGTCTATATTATTTGAAGAATTTGTCATCTAAGCAAATTCATGCCATTCATGGTAAATAACGTCGTAATTTAAAATTTCCGATCTGTCGGTGTATTTTCATGGTCAACAATATAAATATTTTTAAAAATATACCTTTAGTAAATAAAATGTATGACACATTTGTTTCATTTAAACAATAGAATTTGCTATATAAAGTTATTTAATGAAAACTTAAAAATAAATTATATACTCTACTTTCAAAGCAATAAAAATTGTATATTCAACATTCTGAACTAGTTAAATTCTTTATATTTCTAATAACTTTTCTCAAGTAATAATTAATAATTCCTATCTGTTAGACTGTATAATTTATATAATAAGGGATAAAATAAATTGACTTACATAATACATTTAACATACGTTTTTGTTAATTCACTTTTTCCATAGTCCATTTTCCCATTTACTGTCCATTGTCCTTAGCTGGAATGCTGTCGCGGGGCTCTCGGCTGGTCTGGTCCGGAATTTCACTATCTCTTGATGCATTTTCCCATTTCGAAATGCATTGGTTCCATATAACATCTAGTATGCAAATTTCCATCTAAACTTCCAGTATGATTTTCTTCTCATCTTCTCTGGATGAAGATTCCTGGTTTCTACCACTTCAGGATCGCCATGTAATAAATAATGTCGTGGGGTAGTAAATAATATGTTGTTGTACTTAGTTAACCATTTATTTAACACTACTGTACACTCTTTAATGTTACTTAATCTAAATATTTCAGTACTTAATTGACGCTGACTATATGCGGCATTAACTTGCCATTTTGACGGTACATTAATTAAGATCTTTGAGAGAATGTTTGTTGGGGCTTTTATAGTAGTCCTTGCTATATCAGCAAATGTTTACTTATTAGTATGTCAAGTTTGTTCATGACCTACGCCAAGCATGTGGTGATCGACAATAGTGCTGACTACCAGTTCTAATTAGAGTATGTTATTTATGAATGTCCTCGATTCAAATTACTAAATATATTTATATAAACAGAATGTTAAATGTTACACGGGTATGAATTATAATATTTTATATATGTGAATTCTAATATTTAGGGAATTACACCACAAGCTACCAGGCCCTCTACAATAATAATTACCTCGAATAACGTTACATTTTTTTTGGCACTCATTTTTGTGGTAAGCTTTTCAAACGGCTCTAATAGACAACACATTTCTTTTAAAGCCAGCCATTCAGAGTTTATTAAAAGTTCTACAGAAATCTGCAGAATTCCTATTGTTGCAGTTAGGGGCTCACGAGTTTTTAAAAATTGCTCAAACATGAAATATGTTGAGTTTCATTTCGTGACTACATCTTTTTTCAACTTTAATGGTGTTCCCTCGAATCATTTGGGCTTGCGTAGCCATAAATTTATTGTTGGCTAGTACTTCCATGGAAATACTCTACTATAGTCGTCAATATAGTATATACAATATCGTCTTAACCTTTGTTCTAAGTGTGGAGACATCACATATTTCTAATCTATTTGGAACAATTAAGTTGATTGTGTGAGCAAAACATCCAATGTGACCCCCCTCGGTCAACTTTATTGCTGCCTTTATATTTGCAGCATTATCTGCCGTTGCTAGGCACACTTTTTAAAAATATTCCATTTACTGATACCACTACATAAATCATCTTTTAAATTTTGTGCACTATGATTCTAGTCAAACTTATGACACTTTAATAAACTGGAATAAAAGTCCAATCTTCTGTAATAAAATGGACCGTGTAACCTACATAACTAGTGTGACTGTGTTAAGCAGTCCAAGCTTCCATGGTAATTGCAACTGAAGTAGTCTTGAATAACAAAACTTTCAACTTTTCAGCTTTTTGACAAATTTTTTGGGACAAAAATGAATGTGTAAATGTAAATCGACTGGGAATGACATAGGATGGTTCAATGCCATTAATTAGTGCTCTGAAACCATTATCTTCAACAATTGTAAATGTAGGTGATTTAATATCGATGTTTGAGAGGTTGTTTTAAGTTTTTAGAAGACAGAGATACACTTGTTACTACCCTAATATGACTTGCTGGATGAAGCAATGGTCCTACAAGTAAATGTTGATTAGATTTGAAAAATCTGTTAATTTTAATCAACACAAAGATTAAAAAGTATAACAACTGCATTAAGTGTGAACATACTTAGTCTTAGTCTTTTCTCTGATGATGCACCTGTATTAGAACTAATATTTTTATTGAAAAAGGTGTGATGTTTGTTTGCTATGTGTTTTTAAATTTGAGGTTTGACCTCCTTTATTAGAATAATTTATTCCACATATATTACACTTGGCCTTAAAACAATTTCTTACCTTTTAAACAATAATTAAATATTTAATTAAACTGTAAAACTAATTCCATACATGATAAAAAATGTTGCTATTTTCATATTTTCAATTAAAAAAATATACTTTTGGTAAATTGGTATTATATTCACAAAATAACTGCTTGTTCCAATATATAGTTGTTAGGGCTCATATATATGTACTTACATTAAATTATTATAATAATTGCCTAAATAAAATGTTAAATTGATTCTCTCTTAAAAACCAACTCAACTAATACTATTCTATTTAAGTTTTTGTATCAGATAACAAACACTTCTTACATGAACACATGGCTAGTTCATCCTTCATAGGTGACACTATATTTATTATTAAAATCTAATGCACTGCATTTTTATTTTTCATTCTGTGAACCTATGTTGACAAATCATGTTGAGGTTGGTTCCTGAGTGAATTCTATCTTTGTTGATGACATATACCTCTTTTTCAGCTTCTCCTTAGTGCCCTGTAAAATGCTTCATACTTTCTGATACCAATATCTATACTACTGGTGGAATACCAGTCTGATATCATCTGGTTAGAGATACAATACTCGCTCAAATTGTGATTGGTACAAAGTAATCAAAGTATCAACTTGCCTCTTTATATAGTAATTGTTACTGCTGGTATTGGTAATCAAGTACTTTGTAACAAATAGATACTTTTTCAATATCTCTATAATAATTCTGTCTTAAGTTACACTTAACAAACACAAAAGGCTAAATACTTCCATATGTTTATTCACTACTATTTAAATAATTTTTGGAAAGTTCAAAATACAGAGGATTTTAGTGCTAAAGGCTGTTTGCTAATTTTCATTAAAAATTGTTAATCTTTCTTACAAATATGTCCTTAATATTTATTATCCAGGCACTATAGTCTATAGTCACAATATTAACAAAACACTTAAACAGCTGTTCCTCGTTCTAAATTTTGTTTAATTTCTGTTGTATGTTCACCATAAAATCTATCCATCTTTTTGTTAAATTTAGCATTCCTTTCATTAATATAATCAATATCTGCATCATCGTTATGAGTCCTTCTCCTTGAGTATTTACTTCTTTTAGCTATCTGATCTTCTACACTCTTTACCAAGTTGTCAACAGCTTCTGGCCTATCTTTATGAAGACCATGAACAATTGTATTTGGACCAGCATAAAATGCATCTCCATACTTTTCTTTTTGCTCTTCATATCTCTCCATGTCTTTGGGAGCCATTGTTTTTATTAACCTAAAATATAAATAATATTTTATTGTGGCAGTCTTAGACAAGGAAAGAGAGAGGATGGGTAACACTAGTTCAACCAACCTTCAAAAACTGAAGACACTTTTCGATGTGTCCGCCATTTTTTTTGGTGGCAAACAATAGATCTGACACCAGATTTGTTTTTGTGGTTTTAAAAAAAAAAGTGAATTAAACACCTATTTTTTTTTACTTAACAAAATGGTGAATTGTGCATATATTCTTTGTAAAAATCGCAGTGAGCAGAAAACACCAGGAATATCGTTTCATAGGTAAATATTTATAATAGTGCAATTAGGTATTAATTGATTTTACTTTTTATTTCAATTTTAAACCTCAAAACCAATTTAAAATAGTATTTTAAGGGAATGTGAGATCGAAATTAGTATATAAGAATACTAAATATGCAGTTATTTCAGTAATTGTATTATAATTAATAATTTCACTAACACACCATGATGATTTGCCAGTGGCGATGTGCGTTGAGGGTTAAAATTCCATAAATAAGTAAATAAATAAATAAATTTCGTTAATTTTTATTCTAAAATATGTGTATAAAATAAAATAAATTAAATAAAACATTTAATGTACAAAAATGTTTCATTTTGAATACGAATTAGTCAATCCTTAAAAATATGATGCGCCAATGACCACTTCCTCTGGTAGCAGTTTGACTTCACTTTTAGCGATACACATACACATCCTCGCTCTTTCCTTGTCTAAGGTGGTAGTCACAAAAGTTATTTATTTAGGCATATTAGATCTATAATATTATAGATTATAGCATAGTTTCCGATTAACGGTTCAATTTCATCAAGATGAAATATATGAGAATACAGGATTCTTTAAAAAGAAAAAAAATAAATACTGCTTTTTTAAATCTTTTTGACTAGAAGGTTCTTTATGAATATGAATGAAAGGCTAGACAAGACCTCATATTAGGTATTTCCTATCTAGTAAGTTATTGAACCAGAATCATCTCTAATTGTTGATTTCATCTGGTTAAACTGAGTTAACAGTTGAAGTTATGAGGACATATTTCAGTAGTTTTAGAAGAGAATAAATTAAAAATATACCTATGAGAATAAGAGCTGTTACATAAAACTGTATTTAATAATAGAATAAGGAAATAACAAACTAGTTTGATATTTTAAATAGTATTGGAGGCAATTGCATATATGAAGTTTATTGGGACGTTAGATAATAGTTTATAATAAGAACCTCAAAAACTTCATGGTTCAAATCCAACACAGGATTTATAAAATAATTATGTGGACCAATAATTATTTTCAATATTACAGGAAAAAAACAGACAAATCCAATAACTGTTTTTTAATATCGTTCTGAAGCTATTTTCTTGTTGCATTTTATTATCACTCACTATTTTTAATTAGATTTAAACACAATTTCAGTTGAAAATAAGTTTGTTTCAATTTCCACTTCAGAAATCATTTCCAAAATACAGTAATTTCCTAAAGAGAGCAAAGAACTGTTTTTAATTACAACAATAAGAGTTTTACTTATTATAAATCTTAATTTTAATATCCATACCTATTATATTGCCTTACGGATGCGGCTTCATAGTCTGAAAATCCCTCATCAGGGTTTTTCTTTTTCTTCATCCTATCAAATCGTTCAGCTTCTACAGCTGACACATTCAACAATTTGATCCTATCATAGTCTTTTCCTTCTTTAGCAGCTTCTTCCCTTTCTTTCTGATCGTTTAGTATCCATTCTGCTCGCCGCTTTCTACTTTCCCAATTCTGAGGTAGTTTAATTCTGGAATCTTCAGCTACCACTTCTTGATGGTTATGTGTTCTAGCCTCATTGCGTACCTTGTGCAATTCCCTCAACTTTTTCATCCGCTCAGCCTGTTTTTCAGCGAATGTTTTATTAGTTTTGGCCAGGTCTGCTTCATTTTTTGAACTCATTTTTGTGTTTTTTAAATGTATTTTTATTTATTAAACCATTTGACATTGACACTAATCAAAATTAGAATTAGACATAAAAGCAGAAAGCAGAAAAACGAAAGGAGAGGATGCGCAAACAGTGTTGCCAATATCAGGAAATTGAACTTAAAATTGAAAAACAGCAGAAAACACTATGTTCATGCCGCAGTTAAAATAGTGGCACTCAAATAAACTAACGTTTAACAATTCTTTGATTAGATGGCAGCACTTACATCATATTCTAATAAAATAGTAAAAGCAGATTAATTTATTTTCTCATACAAATAGTTGTAAAAGTTGTGCATTAATTTAATTCAATAATAATTATTAATTTATTGAAACAATTCTAAATAAACTTACATTTTAGAGAGAATGTTAAAAAATTAATCTAATTGATCTAATCTATACAAAATACACCAAATTTTCCATATTTTTACCATATTTATATATGAAGAAAGTAAGCTCTATAAAAGTGTATTTTATAAAAAAAATTATAACAATTTACAGTCGTTAAGTTGCGCCAAATGTAGACAACTTACAGTTGTTCTGAGCATTGCGGAGTGCTGAGATATCATTTCACTTAGTATTTCCCAGAGATACGATTCTTACATATCTCTGGCATTTCCTTAAATAACGAATAAAATACAATATTATTCAATTTTAACATCTCAAATTCAAAGTAATGAGCTTAAATGAAGTTTATTATGTACTGAAAATCGAGCAACACTTTTGTGATTTTATATTTCAAATTATTATTATGTAATTTAATAATTGGCTCTGTGAGTGCGCAGTTCTGGTGCCGAAAAATGTTAATGTTAACGAAATTAATTTCCAGAATTACTGCACTAAAAATATGACATTTTGACACTACTAACATTAATGAAATTTTAAAATTCAAAATTTATATCGACGATTTTTTGTATTTTCTGGGTTATTCCTTTAATTTTTAGATTTTTCGTTTGCATTTATATGAAAAAACAGTTCTTTTCAGAACTATTTAGGGACGTATTAGTGTTATTAAGATAACAATATGGATGCAACTTTTAAATCAATAAAAATTTAATTGAAATGGTTGATAAATTTTGTTTGACCTTGTAACCTAAACATGTAACAAGAGAAACATGTACTGTGATGACAACTTAAATACAAGTAAGGTTTCCGATATTATCGATTTGGTGATAACAATATTCTCCGTCAGAGGACACTTAGTGCGGACATAGCCTTTCATAACTCACAGACATACGTCCGCTTTCGAGATTTGTCGTTAGGCGTGGTTGTGTCTTCAGCAAAAAGGACAAAGATTAAAACACGTAAATCGTAGTGCTTGACATACTTAAAAAGTCATAAAATGACAGTTACGCCATTGCTGAAAATTTGAATAAATAAAAACATTGTAAATGTGATGATTTGTGTGAATGTTTTCGTTTTAAATATCTATTAAATCGTTTTATATGTAATCATTAATAAAATGCCTGCATCTATCGGTGTGAACCTGCGAGTGACAGGACATTGTCGCCAAGGTGGTAGAAAATACATGGAGGATTTCTTTTCAGTTGCATATCAACAAACAGAGGATGAGAAGGATCTGGAATATGCATTTTTCGGTATATATGATGGACATGGAGGAGCTGAAGCCGCAGCGTTCGCCAAGGAACATCTTATGGAAACGATAATCAAACATAAAAACTTCTGGTCAGATGATGATGAGGATGTATTAAGAGCCATAAAAGATGGGTATATAGCCACCCATTATGCTATGTGGCGAGAACAAGGTATTGTTTACATTAATATTATGCACTAAAATAAGGCTAATACATATTTGTTTACATTTTTTGGTGACCCAAAATTGGTTATTTATATTTTAATTATTAAGCACACAGAAAGAGTTACTTACAGATCTTCTAATTTCCTTTAAGGACTACGAATTTCAAATACTGCAGTTATTAACAAAATGTTTCTGTTGATATGATGTCTTGATACATTGAATATGTAACAAATTTCCTAATTTTCTATGCCTAAAGACCCATTCAACAGTCCAAACTTCATAGGACTGATTATTCTTATTCCTTTTGATAGAACGGATTATGCTCGTCGTTTTTCCTTATTGAGAATGCTCAGCTCTGGCAAATCCTCCCAGTGGATCCATTCTGTCCAAACATTAATGTTTTCAAAAGGCAATTTACAAGTCAAGTGAATAATCTAATTATGTGATTTTTTAACGTTTTTAATTTGATATACTGTTTTAATGTACACATTTTTACTGTCTTATTGTTTTGATGTTTATTGTACATGATCTTTACTTTTTACTATTTGTTGTATTTTATTGTAAATGGTTCTACCCTTGAAATATATAAAAAAAATTAGGTAGAATTTAAATGTCAATCCGTCATAAACAAATGACAAGCTTTTTTAGATGGTTTGTAAACAGGTTTAAAAGCATCACCTGGAAAGGGGAAAATGCGTTATTATTAGCAATATTTGTAGGTAGTCAAGATATTATACTGAAGGAGGTTTAAATGCAATTGTTTCTAAAAATACTGGAGATTACCATTAGATGATTAATGGAGATCATTATGAAAAATGGTTTTCAGATTTTCTGTTGAAAATCAAACAGGATACTGTGTTTAAACTTAGTTTTTACATATTTTGATGATCCTTATGACATTAAATTTGGCTTGAATAACACAATATTTATTACGTTTTGTGATTATATCATCCCTACCATTTCCAACTATCGAATGTGAAAAGTGGTACTTTTCAGGAGAGCAAAATAACTCTTTTTTAGAGAATTCTAAATCAGCGCTTTGACAAATGGAAAATTTTTTATATTTTTAAAAATTAATGTTTGATCCTTGTTAGATTGATATCAGAATAAAACTGCTTACCGTTTGCTTCTTTCCACAAAATCACATTCGTTATTTTGCTTTTTGTGTTAATCAACGATTTGTTTTGGTCCAATGTTTTAAAATTGCGAATGTGGCATTTTCGACGGTTCATATTTGTATAATTTTAGCACATTTATTTGGTGCAATGTTTCAAAATTGCGAATGTGGCATTTTCGACAGTTCATATTGGTCTAATTTTAACACATTAATATTCTTAATTGAAAAGGAGGAAAATGAAAATAATCTTAATGTTCTTACAAAGTTTATTACAAAATATTTAATTAAAAATTTTAGTTATAGGGTAAAATGGAGAAATCATGTATAAAGAAATTATTAAAAGTATTTTTATGAAAGTATGTATTGATCGAAAACTAATGTAATTAGAAAAGTTAAAAATAATCACAATACAATTATGGAACTTCACGTCCTGTAGATACCTCAAGTAATCAGTAGTAAAATAATAATAAATTAAAGTAAAGTCTTAAATTTTAGATTCAACGTTATCATTGTCTTCAGTTGCGTCAGGTTCTGGAATACAATCTCTGGCAGTATTAGATGTTGGTGAAGATTGGTAATATTGGTGGTATGGCCTAGGTACATAGTGACAAGAGGTTTTTTTTCTTCACATCCGTGATTGAAAGTATTTCGTCGTATGCCTTAATAAAGTTTATACTATTTTGTTTGCCTCTTTTTTGTATGGTTTCAAGAGATAAGAAGTTTCCGTCAATGCTAGTCTTCATGTAAAGTTGGTTATTTTCATTTTTCCGATCATCATCATCATCTTTGGCTCGACAATCCTCTGTGGATCTTGGCCTGCTCTAAGATTCGTCGCCATTCTGTTCGGTTTTTGGCAACATGTTGCCATCTTCTGATTTTTAATATTCGTAAGTCGGTTTCTACTCCATCTAACCACCTAATTCGCGGTCGGCCTTTGCTTCTTGTTCCTACAGGTGTTCCTGTGGTTAGCTTTTTAGCAATGGTATTTTCTGGCATTCGTATTATGTGTCCAGCCCATCTAAGTCGCTGTGTTTTAATGAACGTTATGACATCTGGCTCATCAAAGAGCTGATACAATTCAAAATTATATCTTCTGCGCCACTGCCCTTGGTCGTTTACAGCTCCAAATATTTTGCGGAGTATTTTACGCTCAAATATTCCCAAAAGTCTTTCATCTTTCTGTGTTAATGTCCATGTTTCTGCTCCATATGTGAGGACCGGCCTCAGCAATGTTTTGTATATAATAATTTTAGTTCTTCTTTGAATGTTTCTTGAGTGGAAATGCTTTTGGAGTCCATAGTATGCTCTATTTGTAAGATTTATTCGTCTTTTGATTTCTTCGCTTGTTTTATTGGTAGCAGTCAATAGCGACCCAAGGTATGTGAAGTTGTCAACACGTTCAAAGGTATGACTTCCAAAGACTGTTTCTCGTTCCTCATTTGCTATCGGATCCTTTGTAACCAACATGTACTTGGTTTTGTCTTCGTTGATGACTAGACCGACCTGTTTCGCCGCTGTTTCCAATTCTAGGAGATATTGCTCAACATCTCGCTTGCTACGCCCTATTATGTCAATGTCATCAGCATATGCTAAGACTTGTATCGATCTATTGTAAATAGTACCGCCGTCCCTAATTCGTGTATCTCGGACTGCCTTTTCTAAGGCAATATTAAATAGGAGGCAAGCCAGAGCATCTCCTTGTCTGAGTCCATCCTTTATCTCAAAGGATCTAGAACTCTCTCCCTGTATTCTAACAGTGGCTTCTAAGTTAGACATTGTCATTCTCGTTAGTCGGATAAGTTTCTCTGGTATACCAAACTCATGCATTGATTGGTATAGCACTGTTCTCTTGACACTGTCATATGCTGCCTTGAAGTCGACGAATAGGTGATGGGTTTCAATATTGAATTCTAATGTTTTCTCGAGAATCTGTCTTATTGAATGAATCTGGTCAATTGTTGATTTTTCTGGAGTGAATCCAACTTGATATTTACCAACTATGCCCACTGTGTAAACATGCAACCTTTCGTAGAGAATATTTGCTAGTTAACAGGGTTATACCTCTATAGTTGTCATACTGGAGCTGGTCACCTTTTTTATGTAACGGGCATATCACGCCTTGAGACCATTCACAAGGCATGGTCTCATTATGC